CAGGTCAAGCTGGTTTTAGCTGGATTTAGCTGGTCATTTTCCAGCCTGACTAGATAAGACCAGGCTGGAAATGGCTGGAAACCAGCCTGGAAATGGCCAAAACCCCTCTAAAACCAGGCTGGTCAACCAGCTAAAACCCGCCAACCAAGGCTGGTTTAAGCTGGATTTTTCAGCAGGGATTAAATTCCATTTCCCCCTGCCATCTCTTTTAAATATGAAAATGTATTTTACCTCAGCATTTTGAATGGAGTTTCTGTGCTAGCCTGCTGGTACTGACGCCGCTAGCGGTTACACGGTCTATCATCTGGTTTAATGCGTGAACTAAATTGATGCTTACTTATTTAATAATATTACATGCTGTAAAGGAACCAGATCAAATTTAGAACAGTCTCAGAAACCTTTCACCGGATGTATCGTTGGCTGAAAAACACTAGCTATGCATATATATGAAACTTATTGGAAATATTGGTTTAATAGACACGATATAGCAATTATGTTGGAAACCGCATCCATCCGTTTCACACTCCATCATAGTAGGTGGCGGTATGCACCTAAATAGATGGTTTACACCCACAAAAAAAAGAAGAAGAAAAGGAAGACTTTTATTTTGAAATTTTACCCCGCTCAGTCTTCTGGTCGGATGTTCAGAATCAGATGCGCTGAATGAGGTGTGTAAACAGTTTCAGAAACAGATATCAGCTTATATCTTTTATATATTATTTTTTTATAAGCATGATGAATATACGATTGAGGTAAAGTTGTTTACCATGCTATTTTGAATATTCGGTAAGCATGACTTCAAAACAACATTAGCATTTGTGTATTGACTGTGAACACTTGTAATATGATAGATTGAGGTAAAGTTTTATATTCGCACATTGATTCAGTGATAACTTGTGACACGCTTTACTATGGTACTTTGAGTATGTAAGCATGAGGTATGAGTATTTTCTGATTTATGTCAGCAAATTTTAAACCTGCCTTTCAGATTTATTTTCTCATATATATATATATATATATATATATATATATATATATATATATATAGCCTATATATATAGCCTATATATGTTTTCTTGAGGTGGATTGTTGATTGGATGAATGTCAGCCCAATTGGGAAGCTTTAAAGCTTTTCTTTGGACAGAGGAAAATTAATACCGGTTTAAAACGATTTAAGACAGTAAATTTAGTGAACTTAAGAACTTTTAAGGCCTAAAATAGTTTTTGAAATTTAAGACGTTGTTCTTGAAATCAATAAAAAAAATACATACTATTAAAGTTG